AGCAGGAATCAAATAAAAAATTATTTGTTCTCTTTACATATCATATAACATTACAAATTTCTTCTCATCTTGCTTATTGCTTCCAAGAAAACTATTTTTCACCCCTCCTCCCACAAGCAAATACAGTATTTTTTCCTCATTATCATCATCATAAGCATGGATGAATGGATTTTCTGCTTGGGTTGGTAAATTTTCAAGACAATTTTGCAAATTTAGTGCAGATCCACACCCCTGAGTCAGTGCTTCCAGCATATTGTTTGTGAGAACTCCCACAAGCAGGTCTCTGTGCATAATGCAATGATGCAGCCATGCAAACTGCTGTATAATTTTCTTCTGGACAAAATGCAACATAAATCTGTTTGTTCCATAAAAATAATAATAAAAAGCCGTTTTCCTGCAACTTCCTAATCTTTCTACCTGCTGTTTTAGTGATGGAAGACTATGTGGCTGGCTATGCAGATGTGGAGGCTTGAAACATGCAGGAGCATGAGAAATGAAGGAAGTTAAAGTGTCAAAAAGAGAACTTTAAGATATGTAGCAGTGGACATTCATTTTTGTATAGTTTACAACTGTAACTAGATCCCTCTCTTAAGGCACATTCAACTAACACTCCAACCCTCTATGATGCAGAAACCCTGGCCTACAATTGGCGTCTTAAAGAAGCCTCTTTCCTGTCTTTTACTGACACCCGGCCAGTGTAGGAGAATGTTAATCTATCATGATATACATTATCTTAAAACTGTTTTTTAACTACTTGTCATGCTATACTAAAATTCATATTCTTATGGTACACTAATCTTTAATAAGAGTATAAAACACAGTATTTTACCCCAGAAAATTGCTAAACAGCTGGTTTTAAAAATAAGAACAAGACTTGAGGTCTGATCTCACAGTTGACCCTGCTTTGAGCAGGGGATTGGATTAAATGACCTCCAGAGGTTTCTTCCATCCTGGTTGAATTTTTCAAGGTATAGCAGTTCTAGATACTGAGCACATTATGTCAGACCCTTAAGAACACGAATTACTGTAATAACAAACAAATACTTTTGACATAGGCAATAAAGAATTTGCAAATGGAAAACTGGTTTTAACACAGACCTTAAAAAAACCCACAAACAAAATAGAACAAGAATTTCTTGGGCTAGGTGTTTGTCATCCATTTTCAAATGGAAATAAAAGAGAGCAGCACGCCTATATAAAGCAGGAATCCCATACTGCATAACTAGACTGCCAGACTGTTTCATCATATCAGAGGCAGACTTGGATGCAATATTGAAGATCTTGTATGACTGATACTAAAAAGCTATAGTGTGGGGATCTATGAATGAAAGTGTTAGCATGAATGTATTCAGAAGTCTGACATAATTTATTTTATACTTGCATTCTTACTGAATTACTAAGTGCAGCTAAGATGATAACCATCATTATCTGACAGAAAGATAGGAGCAAACACACTGGATCAAGTGACAGATCCACCTAGACCAGTATTCATCTTCAACCACAGCTAAGTGCACATAAGCAGGGGAAAAAAAGGAGCAAAGTATATACTGAAAGTGTCTTGAAATATCTCCTGGTATCTCATGATGCACATTTCAGGCATCCCCTCGGATAACAATTTCACTTTTGTATTTTAACAAAATAAACAGAACAAGGTGAATAAGTCATCCGGGTGCTGGAGTAGGTGTAGAGAATGGCAGCTAGGATGGTGAAAGGCCTGGAGAACAAGTCTTATGAAGAGCGGCTGAGGGAACTGGGGCCGTTTAGTCTAAAGAAAAGGAGGCTGAGGGGACACCTTGTCATTCTCTACAACTACCTGTAAGGACATTGTAGAGAGGTAGGTGCTGGTCTCTTCTCACAAGCAAATAGTGATAGGACAAGAGGGAATGGCCTGAAGCTACACCAAGGGAGGTTTAGGCTGGGCCTTAGGAAAAAAATGTTCTCTTAAGAGTTGCCAGGCACTGGAACAGGCTGCCCAGAGAGGTGGTTGAGTCACCATCCCTAGATGTGTTTAGAAGTCATACAGATGTAGTGCTTGGGGATATGGTTTAGGGGTGAACACAGTACAGTAAAGTTGGAGCTGATGATCTTAGAGATCTTTTCCAACCTAAATGATTCTATGATCTGCATCTAGGAAGGAAGAAATCCATGCTCCATTATATTCTTGGGGTCCAACTGGCTGGAAAGCAGCTTTGCAGAAAAGGACCTGGAAGTTCCCAATGGATACCAAGTTGAACTTGAGCCAGCAATGTGCCTTTGTGGCAAAGAGGGCTGATTATATCCTGGACTGTATTCAGACAAGCATCGCCAGCAGGTTAAGGGAAGCAAACAAACAAGAAAAGCAAACAAAATCCTAGCAATACAAAAGACTTTTCAGTTCAACCAAGTCACAGAGAATAATTGAACTGCTGAATCAAAGTTGCAAAAAATGTATTATTCTTCTCTAAGGCTATAGGGGGGTGCATTTATAAAGCTTATAGTATATATTAAGGCAAGACTTTCCCAACCTAGTGGTTTTGAGTTGAGAAGTCCAGATGTGATCACAGCAAAAATCTACTTCTATAAGGCACAAACATTTGGACAAAAGCTTTATAAACATGGTAACAAAATTCAGTATATTACAGTGTATCATAAATATACTATAGCAGTAGTCTAATCCTACCTTGCTGGTGGACACAAATCAAATTCTGTCACATAAACTGAATTTATAACATCGAAATCTTCCATGTTTTTCACATACAGATGAACCAAAATAATATCCTTTAGTTTCAATCCCTCTGAAGTCATATTAGCTGCAGGATAAAAATAATATAGCTGTTGAAGACAGAATATTTTAAATGTGTGTAGAAAGACAGCATAAGCATCTAGTTTACATTCAGTAAAATCAACTGTTAATAATCTAACAATGGTCTACATATGACCGAAGGCTTTGCAACTTACTACCTTACCCCACATCATACCTATTTTTTTCATTAAATTCTCTAATGTTAGTTTTCCAAATATACAGACACAGAATAAAAATAAATTTTATTCACCCTGAGTAGTGGTGAATTTTTGTCCTAAGAAAATGTATCATGCATTAATACATGTTAATATATTACAGTCTGAATCGCTTGTATCCATAAGTTTTATTATCTTGTTGTTTTTTTTTATTTTCAGTCTATGAAAGCTAGCAGTCTGTACAGGACTTTGAATGATGAAAGTAAAGAACTGGAAGGGATAACAAGAGGTGCATCACCATCTTCAGAAGATCAAATATTTATATGTTGTTCCAGAGGGATGCTTGACTAAAGTATTTTTTAAAACCCCCACTGCAATTCTAATCACTGCATAAACAAAGAGTTATAAATGGCAAGACAGACAACATGAAACAGAGATGGTTACAGGAGGACTGAAGGAAAGATGAGAGCAGAGAAAAGTTCAAGCTGACAGTTAAAGTAAAGGTACTGGGAAGTCAAGATGATCTCAATGTGTATGCATAGAAGATTCCAGTCATAGCACTCTGGGAGAATGTATGACTCTTAGTCTCAAGACAATTGACAAGACAGGTCAATCAATACTACAGTACGGACCTTTTGTAACTCATAAGTAACAAAAAGTAAATAAAGAACAAAATCTTCTCTGAATATAGAACGTACATAATAACAGAGTCCCACGTGACTCAAATGACCTAGATGAAGCTCTTCTCAGTGTAACTTTGGGGATCTTGTCCTTTAATGTTACACTATGTACCGTATATACTATATATTTATTTTTCAGTGAAGAATTACTAAGGCAATTTTTATTGGCTGTTGCCTTGTGAGAAATAAATAATGTTTGTGCAAAACATTTCTGTGCTATTAAAGACAGTCCAGGAGTTAGCACACTTCCATAAAGGCCAGTTTAGTCACAGTAATCCTGAATTGCTCTAAATGTCTTTGCTTTACTTAGGCATACTGCCATTAGTGTTGGCAATCTGAAAAGGGGAATTCTCACTGACAGAAAAGGAAGCGTGCACTAAGTTGATGCAAGAGATTATATACCAACTCATACAGAATTCCTATAAAGTCAAGACACATCTCCAGAAATATTAGCTGAGAAATTAGCACACATTTTGTCTAGAAATGTAAGTGTATTTGAATGCTGCCTGATGGCAATCACTGGATCAATACCAGCTGCAGTATCATCAGTAAATGAGGAAATTATGACATTTTTCAGATTTCCAGCCAGCATTTTAGTCAAGAAGAAAAGAGTTTTGGCCTGTGGTTAAAAGCTCTGCAGCATTATATGACATACTGGGGGAAAAAAACACAAACAACAAACTCAACCTCTGGGATCTACATTTAAAATGTATAAGCCAACACATTAATTCTGATTTGTGGACATGTAATGGTGCTAGAGCAAGTTGAAGAAAAAGAGATTTGGACAAGTTAATGATTTCTAGCTTTATTTTTAAAAAAAACCAAACTTCTAGAAGAAAATAAAAGTACAATCCCCTTTTCCTTTGCATGATTTAGAAAAATGAAGGGAAAGAATTTCTCCCTAGCTTGTAAGCAGAATAGAATTAACGTCCCAAAGCACTGCATGAAGTAGAAAGGCATAAATTATGAACCAGTTAAGAACCCACCACTTGGGTACTTGACAAGAAGTTTCGTTCCCCAAAGCAGGGGATGTACAGAATGTACAGGAAAACCAGCCTTTCTGTCAAATCTCAAGTCATTCACATTCCAAATAATTTATAAAACATGATCAGGTGAGACTCATTCTTACTCAGGCAGAACTGCCTGAAGTACAGCTTAATTTTTTTTTTAATGGGTTATCCAGGATCCTTAGGGAAGAACCACAAAAAACAGCATCAAAACTCTCTACAGGAAGTAGCAATTTAGAGTAAATTTTAATGTAACAATAATCTCTATGGTTCCCTTCACGTCTATGGAGTTTTGCCATGATACCTCTGCACCAGAGCTGCTTTACATAAAGAATTCTGCAATCTTTGTCATCATCCAATCGTATCTAAACAGAAGTTTAACAAAAGAGTTTACAAAAGTAAATATTAATCAGTTCTTGGCTTCATAGGAGAATTCCATCCACTTTACAGGAAAACCACATTTCATAAAATCTACTAATAAATTTCCATTTCTGAATTATTTTGGCAGCATTTAACCTCTTTAGAGGTGATTAAGTTAGCTACCTCAGCAAAGAGAAGGCTAAAAGAACTGTGCTTATTCCATTCTCATGGCACTGAAGACTCAACTGCTGTATAGATTATGAGTTAAGAAAAAGTCCTGCGCATATTTGCAGATCAGTTAAGTTCTCAGAAACAAACTGCTTCTTTTGCCATGACAGAACCATAATTCATTCAGTCTTCAACACCCACTTCCAAAAAGAAAAAAATGAAAAGAAATATGAGAACTGACATTTTCTACACAGGATCAGAAAATTAGTTTTTCTTGACTATAATATAGCTAATGCAAGTAATTTGCTGAAAGCAATAGGCTACTGTACTAGTCAGAGACACAATCTTTTTTGACAGATGCTAAGACAAAAGTATATAATATTTGTACTCATAGATTTCCATTTAAATATAATGAGAACAAAATAAAACATTACACAACCCTTTTGCTTCAATTCACAGATTATGCCCAGAAGATTTACACTAAATACTATTATCTTTTACTAATAGTTAGATCATATCCACCTTGCTGAATTCCAAGCAATCAAGAACTCACTTGAGGATGTTCTACAAAGTACAAATTCTTTGTGCCTTTGAAAAAAATTCTAAAGCTTCTTTATCATGCTATATTCAATCCAGAATACTCAGCTGCACAAGCAAATCAGAAGATTTTATAGGACAATAACTCATGCAAATTCATTAACAAGAACATGAGCCTACCCATTTAGATATGAAAAATCATTTCAATTTTTATGAATGAAAAGGAGCTTGTATAAACATGCTTTACTTAAAACTTAGAATGAAGAAAAATACAAAACAAAACGGTGAACAATATATTTTCTATATCAGCATCTTGTAAGAGTGGGATAGTAAGGAATCTGGATTTCATGATTCCCAAGGTAGCAATCTCCGCTTTATATTAACAACATAAATGAGATTTACTGCTACTGACCTAATCCTTGATACCAAACTGTGCAACAGCTTTCTAGAAAACTTAATTTAAAATTATGGTAGATACAGAAGTGCTTTAGCAAGTAGACAACATCTGTAGTACACATGCATATTCACACACACAGTACACATTGAAAAAACCTCTAAAGCAAGGTATAAAGCAAGTAAGTACTGTGGAAATAGTGTTGTTACAGTATGTGAACACTGCTTTCAGCTTTTAAGGTCTTAAAAAGCCAGTCAAATTATGATGTCTTCAATATTAAAGCTGGTAGTCTTGGTATCAAAGATTCCAACCAAATGCAAAATAAGATAGCAAACTGACAACCACAATGTTTAACGTTATAAAATTATATGACAATGCAGATTCTCAACACCATATTTTTAAAAGTGTAATTAACAGCAGAAAACAGATTAACCGAAAAAAAGCACCTTGGAGAGAAGAAAATGTTTCCCTTGCTACCTCTTGAGCATTTTTGCCTGTTGATGGAAGGAAGTGGACAGTGATACCTGAAAACCACTGGTAACCATTCAGAGATTTTCCTGAACTTCGAAATGTCTTAGCTATGGGAAATACAGAACAGAGTTATTATTATAATACAATATTTAAGGTTAAGCTAGATTATATTGCAAATTGTTTATGTAAGAACTTCTTCAGAAAAAAAAAAAGCAGCAACACTAAACATCATCAAAACATATTTACAGGCAAATGGATATAAACTAAAATCTTAAATGTAAGTGTGCTGGTAAAAAAGCTTCCAAATGCTACTTGACAAATCCTTCCCTAACACTGCCTTCAGAAAATATGTCTGCAAGTAGTATTTAACTGAGAATTTCAGTACTTTTATCTCCTTTCTATTTCTGCTGACCTTTTACAATGACACTGAAAATCTAAAATTTTCAGCAGTATCTAAGTGACACAGGGACAAATTTAAAATCTTACATGCCAAATGTTAATGGAAGTTAGTTGTTTAATCTGGCTCTGATCATCTGAGCAAATGTGCAAGTTGTTTAGGCATTTTTTAACCTTCCACCGGGCACTTAACATATTCAAGAGCCTAAATACCATTCAATATTAAACACTGTTACGCTATGAAACTTAGTTTTCAGAAAAAGTTTACTAATGTTTGGGCACAGGGTAACATGATGTTGTGGTACTTCAGTGAGGTACCAATCTATGAATTCAAGCTGATTTTGCATTAATCACTTCATGTTTGATGCAGTGCTAGTATTAGGCATATGATTAGTTACCACAGTGCACCTATGAGAATAATTTGCTAGTCTGCTAAACTTGATCATGCATGTTATCCTGAGGTTGCTTAGGCAGGAACCGATTCATAGATACTCAGTATGTAGGCAATTGCATAGTTGTGATTTGCATTTCATTTTTGAGCTTGCCTTTCTATCTTCAATTTAAAAACAACAGTTTGAGTACATGTGTGGTTAGACCTTGTAAATAAATCTCAATCCCTCCACTCAAATTATTATATTAAAATAATTTCATTCAGGCAAACAAAACACATTAGTGTGAGAGGAGAGAGAGAGAGAAGGGGCAAGGGGACAAGAGGGCAAAGGTAGGAAAAAAATGAGTTATACTCTTTATGTGGAATAACCTGAAATGCTTCATTACTAGAGGTCTACTGATTCCTATCAGAAAACTGCATTGTAATAGGAGATTTATTTATTTATTTATTTAAATGCCTGTTATTAAAGGTCATTAACATTCTTTTCTGGAGTGTTCTTATAGTAATTAAAAGTCCACTCCACCAGAGCATGAAATATTCAATATTTGCTTTCTAAAGAAAGTTGTGCAAGACTCACTGATATCCAAAGAATTGTGTTTCAAAGACTTCAAGATGACTGGAATGTTTTTCTGCGGTTCATCCTCTTCTGATGACGGGGAAACATCCCCATTGCAGCTTTTCTCACAAGAACAGCTATTGACCAGAAACGCACTTGAAGATTCTCCCTGCTTGAGAAAAATATTATAAAATGCCAAGTAATTGCCATGCCAAGCAATATGAAATTAGCATGTTTTATCATTGAAATTTTATGTTTTAATTAAAAAGAAGTACCATAGCTCAATGGGTACTTAAGCTTAGAATGATCCATGGAAGAAGAGCAGTAAGTTTTCCCACTATTTAGATTATGGAAACTGACAGAATACAATATGCTCCTGTTTACATATCATATGGAACTAAAATGCTTAGTAGTGAGTAAGAACAACATATATTTAAAAATTATGAGACTCAAGGTAAGAGACAGAACACTACAATGAAATGTTATTTCACAATTTTAGGCAGGACACCTATGTTTTCCAAAAATAGCATAAATTCAGTGAAAAAAAGGAACTGAATTACAAAAGTAACAATGTGATTATTTACACTGTCACTAAACACTTGAAACAAAGCAAAAGACTACCATGAAAGTCCAGGGAAAAAGCCCTCTTCCTATTGATCTCCTAAAGACTATTTCTTCCATCAAACTCTCCACAACTTGAGACGCTCGGAGTTTTGAGACACAGAAAATAACATTTACCAAGATTTGTATATCAAAGTAATTTCTTGACAAGGAATGAAAAAATTCCACTGTACCTCCTGTTCTTCCCAAATGCTTTTTTAGGCCTAGTAAAAGAAAGCTACTCAGTGCATGTTTTAAAGCAAAATACACAGGCACAGTGTCTACTGACCAGTATTCCAAAATTCAGTGTTTATTATATTTTCCAAAAGTCTTGTAATTACAGCATGAATATACATATATATTTATATATGCGTGTGTGTATTTTTTTACATATATATGCACATATATAAAAATATATTTAATTTCAGAGAAATAAAAACCCTTGCTCTCTTCTTCTTGCTTCTCTGATTTTCCAAGGTAGACTAATCTGCAGAGCATGTTGACTTTGGAGTTACTAGCCTGGCTTACACTACCTTTCTTCATCTAAAAACAATATGTATTATGATAGAATTTATCCATAAACCTTAATCAAACACCACTGCATGCAGATTCTATCAATTAATTTTCTGCTCATAGGCCTTGAATTTCATATAGTGTCTGAACTGTGCATTCTACTGCAGACTTTTTAAACACTAAATTCACAAATATTATGATAAAGCCAAATAAGGCAATAGAAACAGTTGACAAAATATTAAGTCTTTGTCAATGCATACATATGGATAAGAAACTGTTGAGTACTGTTTAAGCTCACAAATTAGTGTACAGTGTATTTTAATGCAAAATGTCTATGAAAAAGAATATTAACATTTTACAGCAAAGCACTCATAAGGTCACCTGAAGCTTGATCTTCTGTGTTCTGCTTTTTAAAAATCAGACCTCATCAAGCTGTCAAACAAATTTAGATATACTAAAAATTACTATTAAAATTTGAATAAAGTGGGTTTTTTTTAAAAAAATAATTTTACTGTATTTATTTCCTTTGGAAAATAAAACATCACTAACTTCAACAGTTTCCTCTTTATACTAAGAAAAAAAGTGAGGAAAAAAGGCAAAAAACTACAGTATGCATCAGAAGATGACAATGATAACTCAGCCTTTACATCAATATTTAACTTCACTGGAGAGAAAAAGGATCCAATTAAGTTAAAGCACTGTATTTGGAAATACTCAGGAAAGACTAAATTACAAAAAGATCATTACCTATGAGGGGAAATTCAGCTTTTCTGCCTCTAAAAGGGCTCAAGAGGCATTTTATAAATGCTATAAACACTAAAGATATGCTCTAAGATGAGATGATGTTTCTCGATTGGACCTCATTTTATTAATTTCTCCAAGAAGAGTGGGAAATTCAAGGCAATAGTCTATGTGAATCAATTGTACATGAAAGGTTAAACGAAGTCAAGTAAAAGTAACATAAGCTCAAAAAGGAAAACTACAATTTAGCACAAATATAATGTGCATTCCAACATGACAACATAAAAGCATCCAACAGCATCTGTACTATTTCCCAGTCACTGAATTACACCTTTGACTACTGCTGTCAGTTGATACATTTTGCAGTTACCCAGAGGGCTGCCTGATGGTCCCTTACTCTTCAGGTATGATTCAGAAAGTAAAGAAGCAGGAGCACAAATCTGCAATTTAAATAGATATTAAGATGGATTATGCTACAAGAACCAAGAAAATTCAATTTTTTTTCAGTTTTTTTAAAGTTTTCATTTTTTTATCCCCAAGAAGTTGCTTTCTGGACCTATACAGACAGTACAGTAGCAGGAAGTGCTGTAAGTGCTGCCATTTCCTTCTTGGAAATTGTTGTTTTATTAAATTAGTTGCTTTCATTGGCTAATTTGTAACACCCACCACGAAACACACAATTTGCATTGTACCATGGGCACTCATTGTAACATGTAACTGTAACTGTACACAGACAGTAGAGTTTGCACTTCTTGGTCCTACCCCTTGAGTAAGCATGCACAGACAGGGTGAGATACTTTCACAATGCTGCCTTTGGGTTTTTTTTTTACATCACCTGAATTTTAACTTCAATATGGTATAATGATCCATCACCTGGCAAAAAATATGTTCACTGGAAAGGGAAAAGTTCCAGCTTGCCAATACGACAACTTTGTTTCTTGCTTTTGTTAAGTTTAATATAAACACCCTTTAATAGATATAGAGCTACAGATATCTTGAGTAGGTCCTATTAGAGACCTGTAACTTCTCTCCACTTCCCTAACCTGAAGGACTGAATATATATGCTCTGCAAGTGAACAGAAAAAGAGCACTTATTTCATTTTTATACCATCTGTGAAAATTGTTCCTTCAACTATGTTTCTAAATATGTTTTTTGCAAAATGTGCTTCATAAAAATTAATGGGGATGCAGTGAGACTCACAGACTGTAACACAACTGACTTGGCCTAACTGACAGAACTCCATTGTAGCTTTGTAACTTGTTAATATTACAAATATCCCAAACTGATGCCACATTACGTTTTTCAATTACCCACAGTCTCAGATTTTTTTTCCTAAATATGTCAATATTTCATACATTGTTCAGCCTGCATCAGTATTGCTTCACAGATATAAATTAAATTATACATCTGTATTTACATACACACACAAACAGCTGGTCAGTTGCAAAATTTTTGGAAATCACTAAGAAGTACTAGAAATTCTACAATGCCTCTTACATACACCAAAGACCATAAAAATAATTACAGACTACTGTTTATTTCAATGCCTGAGATATACCACAATGATTCATTCAAGGCTGACTCCCACAATGCTCCCAAAACATAGGTAATCAATCACCTTCTAAAGCAGCACAGGTGTAGGCTACTGCAGAAATATTAGGTGTGGAAACTGGCACTAGAAGAACAACAGGCTCAATGCCAGCCTAAGTAGAGCTGCCAGACTCTGTTTAGTAGTTATTTTCAAATCTCATACAAATGTTGATCTTCCATTCCTGTTGACACAGAAAGCAATCTAAGATTTCAAAGCCCAAAGTTATAGACTGCCACAAATGAAGTAACTTTCCCTGAATAATACTCTCATCACTTCAAAACAAAAAAATCAAGCTTGCTATAATGACATTTTAATTAAATCTTACAGAACCTATTTTATCGCATAACATTTTCATGTTCCTTCACAGAAGCAATGTATTTTCCCATTTGTTACACTGTTTCTCCCACACCCACTGTACATTGTGATACCAACCTCACTTTGGATCAGAGCCTGCATGCATGCATATGTTTAACTACATGTGTTTAACTACACATAAGTCATGTCATTGATGCAAGTGCGCTCAGAATGAAGTTAAGCAAATGCAAGAATGTTCCAGGATCCAAATTCTCCTGTTGAAAAAGCCTTCGAGCTAGGACTTTGACTGATATAGCTGAAATTCCATGCAGTGGTCTTTTATGAAAACAACAGATTGCTTTCTTTTAAAGCTTACATTCTCCACTACAGAAACTGGTATAAAAACCTATCACAACACAATTTCTAAACTGATAGTTTTCTGACTGAGCAGCAATGAGAATACAGTTGGGCAGCAAGCTTGAAAAACATAAAGAAAGATTGATAATCTCTTTGCAATGTACCTTAATAACAGAACTCCTTGAAATAAGTATGAGAGAGACCTCCTTGCAGTATTTCAAGAAGAATACACAGACACGTAGGAAAGAAAGTCCTTCACTCTGAAAGACATTCAAGTGAAGTCTTTTCATTATGAAAAGAGAATAAAAAATTATCTTTTCTCAGAGTACTGGACTGAACTAGCAACCAAATGGAGTAGGAAAGAAAATCCTTTATTATCTTAGTGTTTGAAATAAATCAGTGGATGAAAAAAAAAAATTGCAGTATTTCTTACAATGTTTGGAAAACATAACTACAAGGGTTTTCTATATTCTTATGATGCAGAAGAGAAACTAAAGTTTAACTAGGAGAAGTATCATTGAGTGATGACAAAGTATGCAAAAATTGACATCCATAATGACACCAACAAAAAATATTTTGCAACTTGAAATGACTTCCCGTTCCCCCTGACATCACTTACAAAGTCTAAAAGTCCTACATGGAGATTAACTAAAATAATTCAGATTTAAAAGAAATAGACTACAAAGTTAAATAAAATTTAACCTGCAAGATCATGCTCCTTTAGTACAGAAGGCATGTATATATCTCCCAAACACCTCTTCTAACTTCTACAAGTTACAATTATCTCCAAATTGACCTGTGAAATAGATTTGCTCATGTTTAACAGGAGCATAACTGCACTTGTGTTCCACCCAAATAGGTCAAGATCTTTTAATAACTAGAAAGCAAATAAGCCCCACAATATTGATTTATGATAGGTAAATAGTATGTTACAAGTAAAAGCAGAAGTAGGCATGATTCCCGTATCTGTTACAGGGAAACAGGCTCCTTCCTTCTGTCAAGTGTAGAAAGAAAACTACATTACTCCCTCTAATTCTGAACTATCCCTAACTTATGGCACTGCAGTTTTAAGGCTTGTGTTGTTTCATGCATGTGTGCTCCTACTCACTGGAACTAGGAGAACAACGAATTTACTATTAAATATGGTAAAGAGCCAATCTTAAACCATGAATGAGAGCTAATATGTTCACTACTGTCACCAGAAGTATGTTCAAAAAGAATTATCACATCAGTAGAAGTTCCAAGAGCTTTAATTTCTGTTGCTGATAATTCAAAAGCCAACACAACTTAACAGAACAGTATAATACGGGGAAAATAAAAATGTTTAGCAAATTCATTGTACTGTCCAAGTAATATATGTTTTTTTTCACAATTGTATTTTTCCAGAATAGAAAATATTCAAAATTAAACTTGCATTGAATACAAAAGCCAATACATTAGGTTATTCTGCAGTATGCCTCAGAAATTGATACCTCCTCAATGAAAAAATCCTACACTTTAAATGTACAAAGTGACAGCCTTATGGCCAAAATAAAATACAGATAAGGCTAAGTGTCTTCCTTCTATACATCACAGTGATGACTCTGTTTTGCACAATCACATAAATGAGGCATGCCTGAATTTTGAGCATTACTGTTTTATTTATTATTCTTGATGGGGTATTTTTGGTGGGGCTTTTTTGTGAAATGGCTTCAAAAAAGTTAAGCCACATTTACCAAAATTTTATTAATGTTTTAATAATAAAATCTTAGCTGTATTTACTTATTTAGTCTTTTCTGTAACATTAGTAATGAAAAGAGGATGTATTTAATAAAAGCTTCAATTATTATTCAAAAACACATCTTAAACCAGAACAGTGAGTAAAATGTTATTTTCCCCAAGGCACAAGGGCTCATTTTGCTGCCAGAAACAATCTAAAACAAATTTCTACACAGGCTTTGTAGTTAAACATGCAGAGATTTACTTGAAGAAAATGCATTATAAAAGAGGATAGATAGCTGAGACTAAGGTAGACTAGAGATAATTGCATAATGATTATGAAAGTAAATGAAAAGAATGTAAAATTAACAACCATGGCAGGAAGTAAGATAAAATGAATATACAATAAAATTAAAGAATATGTGTATTTCTCAGTTTAAATGATAACAAAACTTATGTTTTAATACTTATTAGAACTACACATGACTGTGCAGTCTATTAATGGTTTCTACAAAGTGCTTACATAAGTGGCAACTTGTATACATTGTTCATAATTGAGTATTTCTTGCCCAATTTTCAGTAATCCCTTGAAAGCCTGAAACTAAAACTAGTTTTCCTATTTTGTTATTCTGGGATTGACTTTTAAGTGCTGAATTATTGACTGATAGTTAAATCTTTTGTCAGGCTTGTATGCAGCAAATAGTGAGAAAAAGTGCAGCACTACAGGCACATCAGTCTTGAAGGCATCTCTGTATCATTATGCAGTTAAATCATGCTAACTTCTTAGCAAGCTATGCTATGAAAGACTGACTGGTTCTCCACAATCATAACTTCTTGAAAACCTAGCTTATTTTATCATGATACCATAGCCAAAAGATTCTAACGCTTTTCCTTATGAGACAACCACTGCAGAAAATAGACTATTTTCCTTTTAACTACAGAAGACATTAGTTTACATACCAAAATCCAGAGCTTCTGTAAACCTGACCCCTTTGAGTCTGACAGCCTGGTCTACAAGGAATTTGAAATATGATTTACTACAACACTGCTTGAAACCATGAGGCTTTAACCAAATCTAAAACCTATAGATAAGAAGAGGAAAAGAACTTCTGAACAGATAAAAGTAAAATCTTGATTCTTATATAAAATGTTATGCATTTCAATATGTTTTTTTGCCTGATTTATGTAAAGCTTTGTGTTTTTCATTTTCCCTAGCCTGTCACATAGTAGTGATGTATGGTACATTTTAGCATCAAGTTTGCTATGAGCAATAAACTCAGTGCTCCCAAAGAATTATTAATATATTAGCACTCTTCCTCAACATGCCCTGCTGCTGAATTTTCCTTTATTCAGCCTATTTGGTTTTGCTTCACATACATAGTTGATATACATTTCACAGTCTCCCACACAAATATATTAGTTTTTTGTTTTTGAAAGAAATCCCAAACTAAACATTTACAGGATGAAATACAATTTCTTTCCAAGGCAAGAATGACACTGTCATGAAAGAAAAACGTACTGGCATTTTATCTGCTTGGAACAAAATTGAAAGAAATCCAGGAAATGTAATTGCTTAAGAGACATGAAAAGCAACATACTGATACAATAACGTTCTATAACAATCTTTGCTTTGATCTTCAAAGTGTAGAAAGAAAGAAAGGAAGACCTATAAAATATTACTGCAACAGTAGCAGGAAGATCAATAGGCATCCTCTTAAAAAAAATACTAGCACTTACAGATGTTCAGGAGGAAAAAAAAGTCATTTCAGCCACAAAATAATGAAAAGAAAAATGGAAAAGTGCTGACAAATACTAAGTAAAAGAACTTCTGTTTTGAGCTTCTTAGCTCTGCTCACATTAAAGTCTGCAATACTTAAACCAGTAGATTACCTATTCCTGTTCTGCTGTTTCCATGGAATCATAAACTAGACAGAAGACTGAATCCCAGTGAACCACTAATCATTCCTTTAAGACCTTTGACGAGGATAATCTCCACTGTATGATTTGAAGTAATTAATTAGATGTATTTTTCATATTGAAAAGATTAAACAAAACCCAGTATGTTTAAAACTCATGCACTTGTGAGTCAGCAACTTTTTAAGCCGTCCACTTTACATCAGAAACTGCAAAAAGAGATGCCACCTCCCAGCCAACAAATCAACACTGTTCGTAGTTTCCTAAAACAGCTGTGTTCCACAGTGTGCACAGCTGTACTACACAGGTTACACATGCGCTTGACTAGAATCATGTTGGCTGAGCACCTTGAAGCTTCAAGATGAAAAATGCTACAGAACTATACTACCTCCATTCATTCATTTGACACAAGGTAGCATTTGTGTTGAGTTTTTCCTTATGACAAACTCTGAAATTCAACTAAATATGTACATTGTCATTTGAAAGTACACCCCCATGAGAATATGCAGCTTCTCTCCAAACTGTGACAAAGCAACACAAAAATAGGTAGCAAGCATATACCTTTCAAGGAAGACATTTTTAACCTACTTGCCTTATCCTCCAGGTGTAATTTTAAGAAATGAAGGTAAGCCACAGGTGCAAATGCATCAGCCGAATGCACAATGACCTTGGCTGTATCTCTGAAATATAAAATTATTAGCATCAAATATTAGTATAGAATTTTACATAAAGACAATAGCCATATAACACAGACCCCAAGGTAACTCATTGAAAATTGATTAATTCCTTATTTAGTTTTTATATACATTTAAAAAAACAGTTTGATATATAAAATAGTATTGTTGAACAACACTTTATTTTCACTAATTCTCAGTTTTCAAAAAGGAAAACTATAGTTCCAGACCATTACGGAGAGATTCAGTTAGCTGTAGTATATGAAAGCATAAATGACATAATGTTTTACATTCTAGAGACTAATATGTAAAGCAATCTTTTCATTTCATCAACAGATCTTTTAAAAGTCCATTCTTCTTGATTAGTGCTCCAGGGATTAGTTCTTGAGGTATTAATGACACACAGTATTTCACACTGAGAAACTGATTCAACGATCTTGCATCTGATATTGAAGATTACTAGACACAACTTTTTATTGACAAATATGTTGATAACAATGATAAACTTCCTGTATGCTGATTGAAATTAGTTAAATTTTAGTTTTCATTTTTACAGACACAATCTGTCACACTTTGATTAACAATAAGCAGTATCTGTTATATCCATCTGCACAGTTTCACTGCTTAAGAAAAAGGTAGCTTTAGGAAACAAACATCAGAAGGTGAGAAACTCAAAGAACACAAGAGAAACTCAGACAGTACAAGAAAATCTGAGAATTGTTATAAGTAAGGATTAGGACACACAGTACCCTTGATATCTTCACGGTATTCAATGAGAAGAGAAACAGCTGAATTCTTGGTCAGATTCCACTGACTTAATGAAAGTGTAAAATTGACAGAAATCCATTCTGTAAAGTGTATTTTAGGATTTAAAATTTAAAAAAACCCCTCAGGATCACAGAATCATAGTGGTTGGAGAGGATCTCTGAGGTCATCAAGTCCAACCATCATTAAAAACAAACAAACAAAAAACCAAAAAAATCCCAAACCAAAACACCCACACAACAAAACTCTAAGATAATAACCATCACTACATTGCATAATACTGATAATACTTTTAGCACAAGAAGCTTCACTTCCCTTTCAGTAATTTGATGAATATGCCTTCAGCTTTATTCTTGGCAGTTATTATCAAGACTCTTTCTGATTAAACACGTCTTATTCTTTTAAGATATTTTGAAGATATTTCCTTAAGATTAAAGTAATTATTTTCAAATTATCATGGTGTCTTCTAACAGGAATAGGTAGAAAACAACTTTGGAAATCTTTACTAATAGAAATACATAATTAGAAATAATAAAAATCAGACACCAAGACTGCAGGAGCAGCCAGTACCTGGGTATCCTCAGTGTCTGAGGATATCGTCAATAAACATTTCTTGCTTGCTGTTCAAGTCCTATATGAGGAAGCCTGGTACATTTCAGTAATCTGAACAGAAAAGTTTGTATCAGAAATGAAAACAAAAAATGCAGGTTTATTAAATGTATGTGTCTGCTGAATTTCTAGAATACGTAGTAACTTTAAAAACCATATTTAACTCCCAAGTAAAATAAGCACCTCTACTTGTTTTCCTGCGTGTTCCAATTCACAATACAGCAGAACAGATGCTAAGCATTGATAGCTATGCTAACTGCGCAATAATCATGGGATTTTTTAGTACTTGTTGCTCAAAAAGTATTGCAAACATTAAGAGATCACAAATATTTCTTCTAGGTATGAAGTACATTCTTATGACATACAGCCAGCACATGGGTGCTTGATGGGACCATAATAGATACCTAGTTTAACATGCTGATACTTCTCGGCTGATGGGTTACAATAGGTAGATTATGTGGTGCTGAAAACAGTATTTCAATACATATCAAGAGAAAGTACTTTTTCCTAACTGTTTTCTTTTCTCCATACATCATTCTTTGCACTGATAAAATTTACAGTCCTGTTCAATTGTAAATGTCATTAATAGATAGAAAGCAGAACTGCTTTGTTTGCATCCAATACTAGACCAACAACACAATAAAAGAGGAAGTCCTGAACTTACATGCCACGTCCAGCTTAGGTAATAGCAGAAAAAGAAACAAACACATCCAAAACCACATGAAAAGAAGAGATTAAAAAGAAAAAATAGATTTGGAAGACCCTAATAATTAGATAAAAGCCATTTCATGCTGCCAGTCTGAATTTTGAGCAGGAACATGACTATACAGTGATTAGTGTTTGACTGTGAATGAAAAGCAGGAATTTTGTTTAGGAACATTTTCAGATAACTTTAGAAAACAATGAGGAATAACTGAAAAGCTAACCTAATTATCTCTTTTTTGAAAACATAAATAATGTGATCTCTCAAGTCTCCTTGAAGAATTTGGAGGTATCTAATCAAAGAATAATGGAATCGTCAAGGTTGGAAAAGACCTTAAATGGACATCAAGTCCAGCCATCTGCCTTACAACTCCTAACTGCTAAACCATCTCCCAAAGCACCACGTCCACCAGTTTTTTTAACATGTCCAGGGACGGTGCCTCTACCACCTCCCTGGGCAGCCTGTTCCAATGCCTCACCACTCTTTCTGTGAAGAAACTTTTCCTAATATCCAACCTAAATCCCCCCTGGAGCAACATGACCCCATTTCCTCTTGTCCTATCGCTAGTCACTATGGAGAAGAGGTCAACAGCCACCTCACTACAACCTCCTTTCACGTAGTTGTAGTGAGCAAAGAGGTCTGCCCTAAGCAGCCTCTTCTCCACACTGAACAGCCTCAGGTCCCTCAGCCTCTCCTCATAAGACCTGTTTCTCAGGCCCCTAATTAGCCTAGCTGCCCTCCTCTGCACTCTCTCCAGAACCTCAATGTCCTGCTTATATTGTGGTGCTCAAACCTGCACACAGTACTCGAGGTGCGGCCTCACCAAGGCCAAATAGAAGGGCAGGATCACTTCCTTGGTCCTGCTGGTCACACTATTCTTGATGCAGGCCAGGATGCTGTTGGTCTTCTTGGCCACCTGGGCACACTGATGGTTCATGTTCAGCCGGCTGTCAATCAGCACCCCCAGGTCCCGCTCTGCTGGACAGCTCTGCAGCCACTTCCCCTCAAGCCTGTAGCACTGCTGGGGGTTGTTGTGGCCCAAGTGCAGGACCCGACATCTGGCCTTATTGAAACTCATGCCACTACCCTTGGCCCATTGGTCAAGCCTGTCCAGATCCTTCTGCAGAGCCTCCCAATCCTCAGGCAGATCAACACTACCACCAAACTTAGTGTCATCTGCAGACTTACTGAGGGTTCACTCTATCCCCTCATCCAAATCATCAATAAAGATGTTAAAGAGGAGCAGCCCCAGCACTGAGCCCTGGGGAACACCACTTGTGACTGGCTGCCAACTGGATTTAACTCCATTCAACACAACTCTTTGGACCCAGCCATCCAATCAGTTTTTTATACAGCAAAGCATGTGCACATCCAAGCCACGAGCAGTTATTTTAAAACTTTGCATATCCAAGATTTTATTCTAACATCCTGCTTAAATTTCAAGCTAATACTAGTCTGCAGGTTGGCTCATAATCGAGAGCTTCCACCTAGCACCTGGCCTCCCTCAGAGAATCTGCTGGCCCATAAATTTGTAATTCCACCCTTAAGCTTAAATCTAGTTTAAAGATTCTACATTATTATTTTATGATTCTCCTTCTTACTAAATAATTCCACAGCTTTCCTGCATGGGGTATCTCTAGACTCAAATTCTCTAGTTGTTCAGTTCACTCCGAAGGACGTATAATAGTTCAGCAGATATCTGCCACAGTAGCTGCCATCCCCTTTACCTGTTTGTCTGTTGTTCTTCTCCTAAATGCCATGCAATGAAACAGAATTAATAGCTCTTGTGCCTCTGTTCCTTATATGCATAGATTCCAGTCTCACAGAAAAATGGAACAAATAGACCTTCACCACGAAAGCCTTAATCATGTCCATACATTCCATAATCTTGACTTCCCCTAAGATGACCGAGTGTCACCTCTACATGATTACTAGTCTGTTTACTTGGCCAAGAAAAGGAACAGCAGTGAAAACATCTCACTCAAAGCAAGCAGGCTTAGCTATTTAACGAAGACTAATAAGAAACTTGCATCAAGACATACTTTCCATATCCCACAACACAGGTTTTAGTAATTTATGTCAAAAGAATAAATTACTCAGTGTAATCAGATGGATTCATGCAAAGTTTGTATTTAAAATATCCTCTCATAATTGAAGACAAATGTTTATTGTTATCATTCTAAGCTGCTAAACTTAAAACACACACACGCACACACATAAGAGTTAATGGAATCCAGAGGCTACTGATGTGGCAGTTTATCAAATGTAGCTGTAATGAAAGATAAATATTACAGGCCATTCTCACTTCATGAAAGGATAAAAGTGTCAGTGTGTAGGTACCAGTTTTACTGCAGCCCATAATCAGCAAGTAAACGAAAGTGCAAACGTCTAAAAAGTTTACAGCTTTCTATGAAGGCCTCGTCTTGTCAGCTATTGATTTAGGTCTTCAGAGGACTTTGCCAGTGTTAAACAAAGTGAGTGTTTGTGAACTAGGAGGACATGTTTTACCTTTGCCAACAAAAGTTGCTTCAAGCTAAATGTATGTTCCTGTTGCTTTAATATAAGGAAATGGAAGAAACTGTTCCTTACACAACTATTTTCTTCTTAAATAGAGGGCAGTCCAGAGTGAATGTTTCATATTCTCCACCTTCTCCACAAACATGGACTCCATATTTCTCAGAAAGCTAACACAAAAGGGAAATTGAAATACATAAGTATCATATTAAAGCAGTCTATTAAATGTATGTTGCTGAATAATTCATTGTTCTCTTTCTAAAAAGGCCGAAAAAACCCCAAATATACAGAAAGTTCTTGATTTCTTTGTATGTGTACTAGAATTATCTAAAAATTACCATTTGTTTATATTTTAAGTAGAACTGGCACTGTAACATTCACATAAATCAGTGAACTCCTAGTCCTTCCTCCTTGGTGGACGTGGTTGTTCAGACTTGCATATTTGTCTTTCTTTTGCATTGATAGTTCACTTTTGTGAGAAACTTGTACTGTAAATCAACACAAGAAGTAGCACATCACATAGCAGTATAAAATTAACACAAATTTTGGCAAAAGATCCAAAAGCTGCATTCTGTATTTTAGTAGATACCAATTATTTTTAAAAAATCAAATAAATAGAACCAACGGCAGTTTTCCAAGTTAACAGCAAAGAAGCTAAATCAAGATCTAAAGAGGTAGCAACATGCTGTTTCATAGAATCATAGAACTGTTCAGGTTAGAAAAGAGCTTTAAGATCACCAAGTCCAACATTAACATAACTCTACCAAGTCCACTGCTAAACCATGTCCCTAAGCACCATATCTACATGACTTTTAAACACACTCAGGGATATTGACTTCACCACTTCCCTGGGCAGCCTGATCCAGTGCTTAACAACCCTTTCTGTGAAGACGTATTTCCTAATATCCAGCCTAAACCTCCCCTGGTACAACTTGAGGCTATTTCCTCTCGTCCAATTGCTTGTTACTTGTGAGAAGACACTGGCACTTGCCTCTCTACAACCTCCTTTCAGGTAGTTACAGAGAGAAAATAAGGTCTCCCCTCAGCCTCCTTTTCTCCAGACTAAATAGCCCCCAGCTCCCTCCTGAAGTGGGAGGAACAAACTTCAAGCTAAGAACAGGCAAACAACAATCTCTTCAGTTAAGAATGTCTGAATGTTTTGGACCTTCATTTTTTCTCTTCAGTTTTGCCAAGTACCAGTTACCTATTCTCTTCTCTCCAGTCATGTAAATGACTAATAAAATGAAGTTAAACTTAAGATGTAATTCCCATTTAATGTCACTGTCTTTCAGCAGCATATGTATGTGGGAAAGTTTTGTATCACCTATGCATTTGCTATTACCATTTCTTGCTGTGAAAGTCTCTAACCTAGCTTTATATTTTAAGTAGAACTGGCACTGTAACATTCACATAAATCAGTGAACTCCTAGTCCTTCCTCCTTGGTGGACGTGGTTGTTCAGACTTGCATATTTGTCTTTCTTTTGCATTGATAGTTCACTTTTGTGAGAAACTTGTACTGTAAATCAACACAAGAAGTAGCACATCACATAGCAGTATAAAATTAACACAAATTTTGGCAAAAGATCCAAAAGCTGCATTCTGTATTTTAGTAGATACCAATTATTTTTAAAAAATCAAATAAATAGAACCAACGGCAGTTTTCCAAGTTAACAGCAAAGAAGCTAAATCAAGATCTAAAGAGGTAGCAACATGCTGTTTCATAGAATCATAGAACTGTTCAGGTTAGAAAAGAGCTTTAAGATCACCAAGTCCAACATTAACATAACTCTACCAAGTCCACTGCTAAACCATGTCCCTAAGCACCATATCTACATGACTTTTAAACACACTCAGGGATATTGACTTCACCACTTCCCTGGGCAGCCTGATCCAGTGCTTAACAACCCTTTCTGTGAAGACGTATTTCCTAATATCCAGCCTAAACCTCCCCTGGTACAACTTGAGGCTATTTCCTCTCGTCCAATTGCTTGTTACTTGTGAGAAGACACTGGCACTTGCCTCTCTACAACCTCCTTTCAGGTAGTTACAGAGAGAAAATAAGGTCTCCCCTCAGCCTCCTTTTCTCCAGACTAAATAGCCCCCAGCTCCCTCCTGAAGTGGGAGGAACAAACTTCAAGCTAAGAACAGGCAAACAACAATCTCTTCAGTTAAGAATGTCTGAATGTTTTGGACCTTCATTTTTTCTCTTCAGTTTTGCCAAGTACCAGTTACCTATTCTCTTCTCTCCAGTCATGTAAATGACTAATAAAATGAAGTTAAACTTAAGATGTAATTCCCATTTAATGTCACTGTCTTTCAGCAGCATATGTATGTGGGAAAGTTTTGTATCACCTATGCATTTGCTATTACCATTTCTTGCTGTGAAAGTCTCTAACCTAGCATGCAAGTATTTAGCTTTATTATATTGACATACAAATTAGTGTTCCCTTTATACTGAGGTTTCTTTCCTTTTGTTTGTCTTAAATATTCTGGCACCATTTGTGAAATATGTCCAGAAAGAATATTTTTCAAATTGGAATTATGTGTCAGAGGTTTATGTTATTTACAAAGGTAACCCTTGGCTTATAATCTAATTTCCAAAGTAACTAATTTTTAAGTCAATTTTACTGAACTTCTGCCTGTTATTTTTTAATTACAGCTTCACCTGTATGAGTATCCTTTAACTAATACTCACCTCCAAAAGATAAGGCTCCATTTGATCCAGAGATTTTCCAAGATGTTTATCCGGGTCTAACCCTGCAGGGGAAAAAAAAAAAAAAAGTAGAAAGCCTTTTTCTTTTTTAAATATAGCATGTCTCCCTTAAAAACTAGTCCCACTATATTTAAAATAATTTCTAACCTAAATAAAATTTGACTTATTCAGATTTTTCTCTTATCCTCTTCTGGGCAATTGCTTCCATGTTTGTGGAAAAATAAGGCAAATTATCTTTTCACTACATGTCAACTGGAAAAGCTGTTGTTTTCCTTTCTTAAAAATTTCACTTACAAGTAAGTAAACATGCAGGTCCATGGTAATAAAAGTACTACAGAGAAATAACCTATTTTACTCAAAAGTTACCTTTGTAGATATTTATTAAATTAAAACACAAGTAAATTATTTATTGTTTCCGCAAATTACATTTTCTGCAAATTACTTTTTTACGAAATCACCTTCTCTGTGTGTGTCACCAACAGACAAAAGGTAAGAAATCAAAGAGATGCAGATATAAAGAAAAATAACATAATATTTTAACGTTGTACCTTTTGATCCATCAAAAAATATTCGGTACTACGTCTACTTTGTGTTTTATTTTTCTTGGTAAAAAAGTCCTATGAACATTCTATAACTTCTTTAACTTGCCCCTCTCTGTTCCTATTCAGCTTTTTGATTTTATGACTTTTGACAACTCCTGGCTGTTAAACAGTCACTTCTCAGAAATAAATCAAATAACTGGGAAAAATCAGTACTGGGATTAAAAAAAATAAAATAATAATACTCCAGGAACAACTGTTTCAAGATCTGACATCTTCTTCAACCAAATAAAGACTCTAGTTAGATTTAAGACCAAGTGGTCAAAAGGTCTTAACATATGTAACAAATAAGAAAAAACAAAATTATCACTTCTGACAATGAAGGAACACTGAAAAATTTTCAGTGATCACGTTTTTCTCTACTAATAATTATTGCAGTTTGGGGTTTTTTTAGTACTGATCACAATACTTGTCTGTTTTTCCTAATTTACTGCTTTATACCATAATGGGTATCATTAAAGAGCTGCCACCAGAATGACTCAATTTAGAAGCAATTTCTGAAATATGTACCTTGCAAAGCACTTTACATCACTGACGATGAAAGCTGTTATATAAATGTACGGTATACTATTATATAGAGTAATTGCTGAGAACAAACAGATGATATGTCTTTTAATTTTTACAATGGTGGTCTTGGTATATTTAAATTCCTGTGAAACTAAAACAAGCTTGAGTGAATGTGATCTAAAAACATTAATAAAGTTTTAAAATATTTCATTAAAGCATATTAAAATTCCCTTACTATCTAGCGGAACTTCAAAAAACTGCTTAATAATGAGTGTTTTTCCTCTGTTCTTTTTCAGTATTAGTTTATCACTCTTTAGTAACAGATTAAAAATGTGTGTAGCTAGATATAAGGTAATATTTATGCTTGTAGAAATAATTGAAACACCCTCATCTCTGTTTCAATAGTTCCAATGATTCTGGTGATAGCTTCCAACTTAAATCAGATTAACATTATGGCCTTCATTTTAATGGGATAAATATTGAGCTAAATAAACATTTTCTTTTAAAATCAAATAACAAGTACATATTTCAGTACTCATTTCATACATTGACATTAATGATTAGCATAATTAATTTTCTAAGAAAACCAGCCTCTCTACTTGATAAATACAAACTGGTTTCCTTTACAGTTAAACCAAACTATACATCAGTCCAACAGGGGGCAACTAAGAAGATCAAGGGACTGGAACACCTGCCTTAGGAGGAAAGGCTAGAGAGACCTGAGGTTTTTCAGTCTGGAGAGGAGAAGACTGAGGGGGGATCTAATTAATGTCTGTAAATACATGAGGGCAGGGCATCAAGAAGGCAGGGACAAGCTCTTTTTGCTTGTGCCCTGTGATAGGATGAGGGGTAATGGACTCAAACTTGAGCACAGTTTTGAGTCCTCCTTAACATGAGTAAGAACTTCTTTACTGTGAGGGTTACACAGCACTGGAACAGACTCCTCAGAGAGGTTGCAGAGTCTCCTTCTCTGGAGACTTTCAAGACCTGTCTGGATGCCTTTCTGAGTGATGTGCCCTAATTGTGTGTGGTTTTTTGGTCCTGCTCCAATAGGGATGTTTGACTTGATGATCTTCGGAGGTCCCTCCCAATCCCTAATATTCTGTGATTCTGTGATTAAAAACTTGTGAGAATGGAAAATGTTGACAGGAACAGACACACTAACATATTATTTCCCTCACGACTTCTCTTTGATATTAAGGATACTTACTGTTCCACCTCCTAATGAACACAAAACAATATTTTAAAAGAAACTATTATACCATAGTATACAAAATATAAATAAATTACCTATGTATACACATAGTATGGGTAAATTCCTTAATAATATCCCACACCTACATGACAATCTGCTTTCTGTTTCTCAGCAAAATTCTACTTCTGGAAATCTTGTCTTTCTTTGGATAAAAATTTTATTTCCTTTAGTTTCCAACAGGTTTGTATTGTGAGTGAATAGAGATAGTCTGTTGAAGGCATGAAGAACCAATGTAACTTGTAATTTGCAGAACCAATAATGCACATTTCAAATCTCTAATGGTATGTGTGTGCAGATAGAGCTGTATCTCTGCTGCTATTATCAGTATAATACAGTATCTGTAACCACACTTACAAAATTAATATGTATCTATAGTTCTATTTGGTATGTTTTTCTTTAAACAAAGGAGTGGATTGATTTATGTTTTTAAAATGTCTTAAGACTATTAAGAAAAACCATGTATTGTAAATTCTTACTACATGCCACTTAACCACAACCTCGAGATTCTTCCTCCATGAAACTAGACGTGAAGAAAGCTGGATGGGTGGATAAACTAACAACAAGATCCAGGGCCTGGATGACTGTATGTAGAATTAAGAAATTAATTAGGAAAGGAACTATAATTTGTAGCACTGACATCTATTTTACTTAACTTCCATGTACCAATGGGAAGAAATTACAATTCAATTAAAATATTCCCTTTTATTACTTTACTGACTGACCTTGAAGTTAATGCCTGTTTTATTTAATTGCATCATCTATGAATAACTGTTAACCCTAGAAAGTTATGCCCCATTATTTTCAACGCATTTTTAACTCCTCAACTGAACTACATCAGTCAATTCATTATGTGCTGCCAAGAGAGCATGTGCAGCTTTATTTCTTTGAGATAGACCAGTATATGATTACAGAAACATCTCAAAACATTTGATAATGATGTTTTTAACAGTGTTCAGTATAATGTTCTCACCTCATTTTGTGGCCTAGCTTTACCATAAAATCAGTATGTGATAGCACAAATGGTATAAGTCCTTCAAAGTGACTTCACTTCTGTCTATAATTCTTGAAAAATCTACTCTTAGGAGCAGAACTCCTTCCTACAGATACCAACAATGGTTGCAAAGCCTTCTTTTGCACACCCACCAGACAAGTGCTGGAGAGAACTCCAGCAATGTTAAAAAGTCTGGGGCAGAAATTCAGGGCTTTGTGCTATTGTGAAAAAAAATGTACCAAAGAACATTACTAAAAGGCTTTTCACTGGTGTTAAGCAAAAGAGCAGTATTTTAAATGGTTCACTTTGTACACATGTATTAGCATAGTATAAAGCCTTCACCTGAGGGTTAAGTACCTGATATTACTTGCATTTATCAAGACGATTAGAAAATCAAGTTCCATTTTCATGGCATTACATTCAGCTAATAAAATCCACATTCTAAAGCCTCATCTTCATATTTGGGAGTGGTTAAAGAAAACGGGTTTATGTGGGGAAGGTAGAATAACAGACATTCTACTTTTTACAGATATAAGGGATTTTTTTTTATTTGAGGCTTTTCCTTAAGGTCAGTTTTACACATGCTCAGAATTTTTTTAAAGGTTTGATTTTTAAGAAACTCTTTTAACATAAAAAATTCTGTTTTCACCTCTTAGTAAAATGGTGAATAGATAAAAATTAATCATATTAATTGGTTTTAAGAAATGGTGGTACATTAAGTTCTTCTGAAAGCTCCACTGAACCAAACTCTACTCATAATACATGAACACACCGTGAAAGAATCACTACCACACCCCA